TATTCCCAACTACATACACTACCAACTCACAGAACCTCCAGCAGAGTATCTCCAAGAATTGGAGAGTCCTATGTAAAGATGACTCCCTTCTGCCACAGTTTCATGAACCCCCAATAATGTCATACCAAAGAGTCAAAAACCTTCATGCTCTACTTGTTAAAACTGATTCTATCCATTGTTATGGTGCCACCAAATACTTTCAAAACTTAGGTTGCTATAGATGTCTGGGCTGTGTCACTTGCAGTCACATGACGCCGAGCAAGACGTTCTCACATCCCCACACTGGAAAAAAGTACACCATAAGACACATAGTTACATGCACTACGGACTATGTAATCTATAAACTCCAATGCCCGTGCGGACTTGCATACGTAGGCAAAACAGATCTACCACTCGGGGAACGGATGAGGAACCATCGATCCAGTATTTGGATAGCCTGTCGAGACCAGCACTCCGATTTACCAGTGGCAAAACATTCCTTCAGTGCAAAACATCCTATGCCATCGATTAAATGTATTGCTATCAACCATATACCAGTACCACTACGTGGTGGGGAGAGAAATCTTCTACTCCAAAAATAACTATTCTGGATCAGGATATTAACGAATCCTTGGTGTCTGGATACATACCCAAACTTTGGAAGACTGCGAGAGTAGTGCCTATCCATAAAAGTGGTGACACTACTTTGGTTTCTATCGCCCAATATCATTGCTCCCGGTATTGTCAAAAATCCATACGCAACTTTGCGAATACTACCAACAATTAAACTATCTGAACCCTGATCAATTGGGCTTTCGCCAGAATCACTCCACTACAACTGCCCTCCTAAAAGTTTGCGATGACATCCAAACTGGCATGGAACAAGGAGCACTAACTGGAGCTATTTTCCTTAATTTTGCGAAGGCCTTTGACACAGTAGACCACGACATTCTACTGCACAAACTCAAAAACTCAGGTATTGGTGATTGTTTGCTAACATGGTTTCGATCGTATGTATCGGATCGCTCGCAATATGTGTCCATTTCTGACAGTGACTCCCTCCCTCTCCCAGTCACGTGTGGTGTTCCCCAGGGTTCCATTCTCGGCCCCCTACTATTTACATTATTTATAAATGATCTGCCTAATGTCTGCCAATTCTCAAAATGCACACATGTACGCAGATGACACGGTAATCTATGCGAGCAAATCCAATCTACCACAACTTGAGGCTGTGCTCCAAGACCAGTTTACAGAGGTAGAAAAGTGGATCGCAAAAAACAAACTCTTCCTGAACACTGACAAAACTGTCACAATGATCATTGGAACAGTACCTAAATTACACAAATTACACAATTCCCACCTACCCATCAAAACAAATTCAAATGGCACACTGACCGCAGTCCACTCTTTCAAATACTTGGGTATGATTTTAGACCCCAATCTATCTTTTGGCCTGCACATAGAAAAGCTTGCATCTAAACTTTATCCAAAATTAGGTACCCTGTAGAGAAACAAAGCCTGCTTAAGCCCTACAGTAAAGGAAAAGATTGTACAGCAAATGCTGATGCCAATCATTGATTATGGGGATGTAGTATATGCATCTGCATCGCAATCCCACATTAATAAACTCAACACATTGTATAACTCGTTCTGCCGATTTGTGCTACAATGTAATTACAGGACCCACCATTGTGACATGCTAAAAGAACTAAACTGGCTGTCACTGGAATCCAGACGCACCCTTCATCTTTCCAGCCTTGTTTTTAAGAGCTTTTCTGGGAAACTCCCACCCTACCTGAACAAAATGCTGTTCCCATTTTCTATAAGCTCCGAACCAGTACAAGCACTTTACTTAGTCTACCTCAATACAAAAAGAAAGCGGCCCGATCCTCCTTCTCCTATAGAGCCCCGCAATTGTGGAACGACCTCCCGCACAATTTAAAATCTTCCCTAAGCCTAAAGTCATTTAAGAGATCCCTCTCTACATACCTCAAAACAGAATGCACGTGTCATGGTTGATTATATATTTCCTGCCTGTTCTATGTTAAATTTTGTATATATTGTGTATTAATATTGTTTTTGTATTTTGTTGTACCCTAATGTAACAATGCAATGATTTGTGGACCCAGGACGTACTTGAAAACGAGAGAAATCTCAATGTATCTTTCCTGGTAAAATATTTTATAAATATTGGACACAGTATGGCCTAGAAGTCTAAATGAGAAATATTATTGATCAATTTTCTTGCAATTAATTTTTTTTGCAATTATGACTTGCCAAACTTCTCCAAAAGTATATTTGATCTAATGGACAGAAACTGGGTGATATTTAATACCACACCTGTAGCCCATTTGGATCTAGATCCTTTTTTCTGCTAAATGATCATGGATGTTGAGTAATATGCTACATATAGGTGGATCTCGTACACAGAATTTGGTTTGTCTAGTACGTATTCTTTGTACAGTAGATGCAGTATATATTGTTTTTAAAATTGTAAATATTGTTATATAGTGTGTTATTTACTAAGCATATAGCTAGACATATGCATACCATATTCATTGTAATTTGTCACAAACACAATTAGGGCTTATTCAAATATTCTCCCCCCCTACATTACTCAAAAGTAGAGTCTTTCACACATCTCTTGATTTTTCAGTGTGTTATTCCCCTACTCCCAACATAGATTCTTACAGGTATAGTGTCCTATGGATTTTTTCATTCCCCTACTATACGATACACAAATAGTATTGCTATTTTTGTGGAAATGTGTTCTGTGTTGCCTTTATGGTTTTTGAAATTCCTAACACTGTAACAAGTTCAGTATTTATCAATTCATTAGTGGAACTCTACCACATACTTTGTATTCTGTTCAGCTCTCAAGACACATTACTGTATAGTTATACAGTTCTAAGATGCAAAAAGTCAGTTACATTCCAAAGACATGCATGACGATGCTACCCTGGATTTTAATGATTGAGCTTATGTTCACAAATTTTTTTTCTACATTTTTCCCCCAGCACGCGGGTGATTGTATGTATGTAGTGTGTGCTTGTGTAGTATAACAGGATGTAGATATTTTAGTGGATGTAGTGTGTGGGTATAGTGAATACAGAGTGTGTGTTTGTGTAGTGTTTGTGTGTATTAGGTGCAGTGTCTATAGTTAATGAAAAGTGTATATAGTGAATGCAGGATGTGTGTAACACGGATGTAGCGTGTGTATAGTAAATGCAGTGTGTGTGATTGTGTAGTGGAGGTAGTGTGTATTGTGAATGCAGTGTGTGTATTTGTGTAGTGGAAGCAGTGTCTGTGAATAGTGAATGCAATGTGTGTGTGTTTGTGTAGGAATGTTGTGTGTGAATTCAGAGTTGTGTAGGCATGTGGGGTGGGAGGAAAGCACTTTAAAAAAGCCTGGGAGAGGGGAGAGCGCATTCCCTGGTGGTCCGGAGGCATGGTGCTCAAAGTCAGTCGTTGTTCACAGCAGAGGGGGCCCAGCAGCACACTCAGTCTTCAGTTCCCTGCAGCTCCTCTGTCACTAAATCTCGCAAGACCAGTCTGCCTGCAGGGCGAATGCCATGGTTACCAGTGGGAACGCTCTGACAGCCGTAGCTTGCGAGAGTTACATACAGAGGAGCTGCAGGGAACTGAAGACTGATTTTGCTGCTGGGCCCCCTCTGCTGTTAACAGGGATGCAGGTCCCTGCAGCTGCACATATATATATATATATATATATATATATATATATATATATATATATATATTATATTATATATCGAAAATCGCTATATTTATTATCCTTCTGGAGTCCACATTTAAAGGAACACTATAGTATTAGGAATACAAACGTATTCCTAACACTATAGTTTTGAACCAACTATTTAGGTCCCCGGCCCTCCCTCAGAATGGAGTTAAAAGGTAATTTATTTACCATCTGCATGGTGGTCTCACTACGGCTGGTCCCACCTCCATGGCTGAGATCATCAATCTTCATTGCTCATAGAAAATCATTGAGAGGCCATTGCGTATGTGCGGCAAAATGCTGTGCTGTGTAAATCAGCATCTCCTCACAGACAGGTATTTAGTTGATGTATCTCTGTGGGGAGCACTTACCATGTTCATGCAGAGCGTGGAAATGCTGAACGTAGGTGCTGCAAGTTGAACGACTGTCACTAGAGGTTTTACTAGGCAGCAATTTATTTTCTCTTCTGTTCTGTTCAGGTCTCATTCAGAAAACTTTTAACTCTGAACTAATAATGTGCAGCATAAAGTCTTGATATGGTCCTCCAGAAGGTTAATTAATGAATAACATTTTTGGCACTCCCTACTCATAGATCTAATCACCCCCCCCCATTCTTCGCAGGTCCTACTCTAGCAGCCTAATGCTTGCCCTTATGAGATTAATCCATTTACTTGGGAAATACTTCCTTACTGGGACTCTCTGCAAGTCAAGGCTAAATAGGGTCCTGGAATGAGTATTTCCCAAGTAAGTGGATTAATCTCATAAGGGCAAGCATTAGGCTGCTACTAGGATAGGACCTGCCGAATATGGGGTACTTTGACATTGTGGCAGGCTTATGCAATATATGATCATATAATGTAACTACACCCCCATCATTTTTTGCCTAGGTGAGGTGTTTTTAAATAAAACTATTACAATCTCTAAGATTTGAAATCATTGTTTAGTAAATAAGCGAGTGCGCTGGATTCTGTATTTTATTTATATATATATATATATATATATATATATATATATACACAAAAGTAACATTTAAAAAATAAATAGAAAATCAATCACTTGCCAATTTGGTCACAGTGAATCACATGTAGTATAGCACCTCCTATGTGGGAAGTACACCCACTGTAAGATACACCTACCATAGCATCTGATTCTTATAAAGCTGTGATGTGTGAGTTATAACACACACAGCACAAGGCTGGTGAGTATGATTGGGTTGTCCTAATAAATGAAATAAGCAATTCATGACAAGTTTGTAACATTATGTATTTCTCCATAGACTACACAAATGGCATCTTTTGGCTCTGTGTTTGGGAGCCTCCTAGTGGTCGTGGCAGGGATTGTGACCATCAGTTGTGGTAATAAAAAAAAAAAATTCACATAGAGTATACCACATACGTATTTACTAAATGTAAATGTAAAGATAATCATATAGTCTATATTAGTGGAGATCTCAAAAGCTCAATTTGTTAAAGCCCTAGCAGCACTATCACAGGATATAAAATATATAATCTGCAATATTGCTATAAAATATCACATGCTTTTAATTCATGGTTATACTTTGATTCGTTTTGATCATGTTTAACCTTCTTTATATTGTTAATTATCTTTGCATAGAGTGTTTAAAGCAGGGATGCCCAAAATGTAGATCCCCAGATGCTGTAGAACTACAAGTCCCATGATGCTTTGCAAGCATTTAGAATGACAAAGCATGGCAAAACATTACAGAAGCTGTAGTTTCCCCCTTGTTTACACCCCTGGCTTAAAGTATCTTTAAATCTCTAAAACATAATTTGTTTATTTTCTAGAAACACAAATGCTTTTGAAGACACTGCTGAATTATTTTTAGAAAGCAGCGTATACCTATAAAATCCTCTTTAAAAAAAAAATAAAATTTTTTTTTTATTTATTTTATCCCCCCTTGTATATTTTGTCTGAGTAGAGATCTACAAAGAATTGGGATCCTGATAGTGACAGTCTCTCACTGTCTCTTCCAACTTGCTATGAGGTGGTATGATAATGCAAAAGTATGAGTGTTTTCTTTATCCCATCAGCTAAGACTAGAAACAGCGTAGACAATGAACTGAGCCAAGTAAGTGTCAAACCATTTGTAAACAGTTTGCTTACAGTAGGGCTGGGGGACTTCTGGCATCATAACCACTAAAGCACTCTGCAGTACTTGTGTGCTTGCAATATCCCTTAAAATAATATATTATATATTTATATTAATAAATACAATGGGTAAATAAAATATTCATGTATCAACAAACCTTTGATTTAGTAAAATATATAAATAACTATCCTAAAAACAAACTAAATCTATTAACGAAAACAAGTCTAAATGAGTAAAATCCTAATTTAGAAAAATAAATAAATATATTCACAGTAGGTAAAATAAATAAAGACTATACAGGTGAGGGCTGGCAACCTTTGGTTCGTTAGCAAGTAATATATCAAAAATACATCAAACCAAAATAAATACTTACCTGGTGCTCAGAATGTACAACCAAATAGAATGAATGTTATTCTTTTTTCCAAAACTGTAGTAATCACATCACCATCTAACCTATTCGATATATATATACTTAATCATAGAACATGCAACTTGCCCAAGGGTATGTTTAGCCACTCATGCTGAGAATATGACACCAATGGAGCAAGCTCAAAGAAAACACACCTCAGGGCTGATTGCATGTTTAGTCCTAGATCTGTGCATTGAGCCACATTTCAAACTCAACAGCAGTTAATCCTAAATGTTCTGAAAAGCATATATACAAACCTTAATAAACCAAGGTTAAAAAAAAACTTGATGGTGAGGTATGTCTTTTTGCTGATGATACTAAGATATGTAACAGGGTTGATGTTCCAGGAGGGATAAGCCAAGTGGTAAATGATTTAGGTAAACTAGAAAAATGGTCAGAGTTGTGGCAACTGACATTTAATGTGGATAAGTGCAAGATAATGCATCTTGGATGTAAAAACCCAAGGGCAGACTACAGAATATTTGATAGAGTCCTAACCTCAACATCTGAGGAAAGGGATTTAGGGGTGATTATTTCAGATGACGTAAAGGTAGACAGACAATGTAATAGAGCAGCAAGGAATGCTAGCAGAATGCTTGGTTGTACAGCGAGAGGTATTAGCAGTAGAAAGAGGGAAGTGCTCATGCCATTGTACAGAACACTGGTGGTGAGACTTCACTTGGAGTATTGTACGCAGTACTGGAGACCGTATCTTCAGAATGATATTGATACTTTGGAGAGAGTTCAGAGAAGGGCTACTAAACTGCTTCATGGATTGCAGGATAAAACTTACAAGAAAGGATCTTAACATGTATAGCTTGGAGGAAAGAGGAGACAGGGGGGATATGATAGAAACATTTATATACATAAATGGAATCAACATAATAAAGAAGGAGACTATATTTAAAAGAAGAAAAACTACCACAACAAGAGGACATAGTCTTAAATTTGAGGGACAAAGGTTTAAAAATAATATCAGGAAGTATTACTTTACTGAGAGGTTAGTGGATGCATGGAATAGCCTTCCAGCTGAAGTGGTAGAGGTTAACACAGTAAAGGAGTTTAAGCATGCATGGGATAGGTATAAGGCTATCCTAGACTTAAGATAAGGTCAGGGACTAATTAAAAGTATTTTGAAAATTGGATAGACTAGATGGGCCGAATGGTTCTTATCTGCCGTCACATTCTATGTTTCTATGACATATCAATCTTCTGAGAAAAAGAAAATTGAAATAAAGAGTAATTAAAGAAAACTACATTTCACACTGATGATAATTAAGCCAAATGTTTGTTACTAGATTAGCAAAGCATGTGAAATACTGTATAAATATACATAACTGACGCATTACAAAAAAGCTATCCAAAGTTACAAAAATGTATAGATTTTCAACAAAAGTTGGAGTCTAATAATCTTAAGGGTTACTCTGACCACCATGACCACTTCTGAATTTAGTAGTGGTCATAGTGGAAAGCGCCTGTATGTGCAGTGTCTGCAAGGTGAAGCTTCAGTATACCCAACCTCCTTGCATTCCCTGAATCCCTCAATTTTTAACTTTTTTTTTATTTTTTTTTTAAAGAATTAAAGGCTTACTTACCCCTCTACTCTCTCCCCTCACCAGCCAGAGTTGTGAAACCAGCATGATGTCAGATGGGTGTTCAAACACACATACATACTACTCATTGACAATGCATGGATTTTAAAGCAATGTTCTATTTAAATTTCCAATCAATTTTACCCACAATTCATCAGTAAAATCAGTTCCACAGAATGTCAGACATGGCAGAGGAGAACGAAATGGCTGCACCCAGATATTGAGATTAGGCATTAAAATAGAAGTGATTATGTATATAAATAAAGGCACGTGGGAAGGTGGGGTGTATATTTTATATTTCTTTTTTAATCAGTTATATTTGTATATACTTTGTTTATTCATCCCTTACAGTGTCATACTTTTTTGGGTATAGGGCAACAGTCCTATGCTTGGAAAGTATGGTTCTTTTCATAACAAGTTTACTTATTAATGTAAATGGATACTGTAGTGCCGGGCATACAAAGCTGTCTTCCTGGCACTACCGATCCCTCTGCCTCCCCCTTCTTGTACTACTTACAAAGTAAAACAAGGGTTAAAAACAGTTTATTTACTTACCTTATCACAGCCCTGATGTCCCTCGGCGCTGGGTCGAAGCTCCACTCCCTCCTCCAACCCACGACGATCAGGGTTTAATGCGTGTGCAAGGAAAATGCCGCACGCGCATTAGACCTCCCCATAGGAAAGCACTAAATCAATGCTTTCCTGCAGGGCTGCCACCAGAAATTTTTGGGCCCCTGGCAAAGCACAAGGTCTGGGCCCCACCAGTCCGCCCACCCCCACAGCGCGCCCCCTCCCCCGGCCCGCCCCACTCCTACCTAGTCCGCTGATAATGATGCAGGACTGAATGTGGTGTGTACAGTGGAAGTGAATTAGAATGTGTGTAATGGATGTAGTGTTTGTGTGTACTAGATACTGTTTGTGTAGCGGATACAGTGTGTATAGTGAATGCAGATTGTGTTTGAGTAGTGGATGTAGTGTGTGTTTGTGTAGTGGATGTAGTGTTTGTGTCTACTAGATGCAATGTGTTTAGTGGATGTAGTGTGTGTATTAGACGCAGTGTCTCTGTATAGTGAATGCAGAGTGTTTGAATGTGTGGTGGATGTAGTATGTGTACTGTGAATACAGGATGTTTGTGTAGTGGATGCTGTGTGTATAGTGAATGCAGAGTGTGTGTGAGTGTAGTGAATGCAGAGTGTGTGTGTGTGTGTTTACTAATGTATGCATATAATGTAAATGTGAAATCTGTTATTCCCCCCTCCCTGCTTCTTACCTGGTCCAGGGAGGGGGGAGATTTCATCCCTGGTGGTCCGGTGGCATGGTGGCTCCCCGGGCTCCCTGTATTTGCAGAGGGGGCCCAGCAGACTGCGTGCCGCACATCTCGCGGGAGTTAGAGGGAAGAGCTGTAATGTACAGCTGTAGTCTGCTGGGCCCCTTCTGCAAATACAGGGAGTTGGGGGGGCACGCAGCTGCACATTTATATAGCGTCATGGTTGTCACCCCCTGATGGCAGCCCTGCTTTCCTGTGGAGGAAAATCTGACTCTGGGTCCTCATGCAGAGTGTGAGGATGTCCAGTGTCCGATAACGGGCCAAAAGTCCATTACGATTCCAGAAGCGCCCCCAGAGGCTGTCTGGTAGACAGCCACTGAGGACAGACTTAGAGCTGCAATAAACAGTGCAGTTCTCTGGAATTGCAATGTTTTACAGTACAGAACTAAGTGCAAAAGGGACCCATCACACAGACAACTTCAATTAGCTGAAGTGGTCTGGGTGCCTACAGTGTCCCTTTAAATACAGGTGCTACTTTAGCTTTCATTAGTTACAAACCGTATAAAAAATAGTTGGGCAGATGCCTCCAGGTTTGAAGGATGGCATGAAGCACTAATTTGCCAGAATCCATAATAATAACTGTTAAAATTAGTGAAGGAGGAAAGGTAATGCTGGGCCCTTAAGCAAAATTAATCCGTAAAACAGACAGTGCATTCTGTCAGGGACTTGTTCTAAGACTGTGTAGATTCCAGGGATGAACAAAAATTTGAAAAAGAACATGTATTGTTTAAGCACTAAATCTCTACAGCCTCACGTTTCAGATTTGAAAACATTTTGTTAAATATGAGACTATAAAACTGACTTAGCCCACAGGAACTGAAAATTATTGAGTTTATCCAAGAATAACCAACATTTGTAGACACAGTGATGAGGTGAAACTAGACTATAAACTCTCTTGAGCAGGGCCCCACCACCTTCTGTTTTTTTTAATTTCTTTTTGCAGCTATCTGTTTGTTGATCCACCTCTTCTACAGCGTTGTGCAATTTGTCAGTAGTTTTTAAATAACAATATTAATAATAGAATATAGTGGAAAGGAACAGAATAATGCAAGTTATGTTGTATGACCACTAGATGTCACCATTATCCCATGTTGAGAAAAAGAGTTAGTAACACACGATAATATACGTGTATGTCATTCAAAATAAATCCAATTTGTATTTTTTATATACAATGCAAGAAGATGTATACAAATTTCTAGTACATACAGAAAATGGTTAGAAACATGGCAGAAAATTAATCATACAGATTTTCTAACTATCAGAGCTGTATAGAGGGCTATCTCACTTGCTTAAAGGAAACTATCGTGACAGGAAACAAAGTTGTTTTCCTGGCACTATAGCTACTTATAGTGTCCACCATCCCCTCTCCCACCTCGCGGTACTTACCTGGGTCCAGTGCCGATGTCCCTCGGCGCTGGCTCGGTTTGCCTCTGCTCCTCCCCTGCCGAAATCAGGCGGAAATGGCCGCTCTCGCATTAATATTTCCCCATAGGAAAGCATTATGCAATTCTTTCCTATGCGGATTCTGGTGACACTGGTAGTCCTAATTTATAGCTTGAGGACGTCCAGTGTCAGTTAGGTCAGTGTTTCCCAACCCAGTCCTCAAGGCACACCTACCAGTCCAGGATTTAGGGATTACCCAGTTGTGTCTAAGGTGTTTTTACAAAGAAGAAAAAAAACACCTTAGACACAACTGGGTAATCCCTAAATCCTGGACTGGTAGGTGTGCCTTGAGGACTGGGTTGGGAAACACTGAGTTAGGTGACCAAATGTTGCCTAACGATCAGGAAGTATCTTGTTAGACAGCCACTAGAGGAGGACTTAACCCATAAAGGTAATTATTGCACTTTAGAAAAACTGCAATAATTACCTTTCCAGGGTTAAGGGTGCTGGGACACTGCACCCAGACCACTTCAATGAGCTGAAGTGGTCTTGATGCCTGTAGTGTCCCTTTAACTTCTTAAATGTGAGAAACTCCAAAGGTTCTTTCTTAAATAATTTACTCCAAAGTCCAGCCTAGTTATTTAACTAACAGAGAAAATGCAGACTTGGCTCTTCGGAGGTTATCTTACAGACAGCATTCACATATTTCTGTGACAATAACCCCACTACTGACAACTAAGCACATAACACACAGAAACATACAAATAAAGAGCACATGAACTAAAGAAACAAACCCACTAATTATAAATAAACACATAAAACACAATTATATCTCACCCACAGAAAAACACTACATATTCTTAGTCAATACACAGGTATTGTATTGTGTCATAGATGCCCAATACCATCTATTGAGAGAGAGAGAGAGGAGTGTGTGCGTGTGTATGTATATTAAACCCCTGTCCTGTGACTTTACAAGGGTAGTTGGCGTAGTCTGAATTAAGAGGACACATATCCCTGGTCATAATATTTGTGTTATAAGATGACACAAACAAGATATCAACACACGGGTGCTGCTGATCTATACTCCCTGATGCCAACACAATTGCACACACGCAGAAACCCTGTAATCCCATATTCTCAAACACACGTACAGATCAGCACTGACAGACACTAAGACACATTCAAACACAAATGATCACTCATATACACATTGGCACACACTCACAAGTAAATATACACACATAGCTACACAGAGATACAAATGTACTTTCATAGATCCTCATAATCACACATTTACACTAAATCACACACTCACAGATATATTCACAAACTCAAAGTTACACATACTCCTGAAAATACTCCTAGTTTAGCAAAGTGACGTATGAGCATCTCATTTTAGGTTACACGGGATGATCCTATCCCATAATCCTCTCTCCAGCAGATAGATAGTATTTTTTTCCAAAGACACATTGGAATAGAACTGTTCATTAAACTGATACTAACAATCCCACGTCTGCTATCAGTTTAAACACAGCCTGTGTGTCTGTGTGTGAATCTGTGTGTCTGTGTGTGAATCTGTGTGTGAATTTGTGAGTCAGTGTGTGTATGTGTGTATTCTGTGTCAGTGTGTATCTGAGTGTCTGTGTGGGTATATATGTGTGTGTGTAACTATGTATCTTTGTGTGTCTGAGTGTCTATGTATCTGTTTGTAATGTGTGTATCTATGTGTCTGTGTATCTATGTGAGTGTGCATGTGTATCAGTGAGTGTCTACAATACACACAAATGCACGCTTGTATGCAAACACCAACATTCACACACATACTCCATGCAAAAACATGCTTACATTCAAACACACTGTGTGTGTGTATATATGTGTATATATATACACACCAACCACAATACAGGGACTATTCTCCAATTGCTTTTCCAGTCGGAATGATGTAATGCCTTGGTGCACCATGCTGGAACCAATATATATCCAAATATTTCAACAAAGAAAAGTGGGCTAATTTCTGGGGGGGGGGGGGTTCCACTAAACAAGACCTGCGAGTGCCCACTTTACTTTACTGAAATATTTGGAGATATATATATATATATATATATATATATACTGCATCCAAAACACATGTTAACATACACCATGTCCACTTTACACACATTGCATCCAGTGCTCAAACACACACTCTGCATTCACAACACACACTGTGTATCCTCTCTACACACACTGTATCCTTGTGGACAGGCCCACAGGTGCCCAGACCTTGAGCTGTGTAAGAGGCCCCAAAATTTCTGATGGAATCCATGGCCATGAGTGCTCCAGTGCCCCTTCTTCTTACTTAAGATCCACCGTGTGCTGCTCCTTGCTTCTTCTGGAGCTGGAAGCTCTATGTTTGAGCTATGTCCATTGAGCTAAGATCATTGGCTGAGAGCAAACAGCTGATGCTAAAGGAGAGCTAATGAAAACTTCTAACAGTAGCTTCCAGTTATCAGCACTGGAAGCAGAAAGGCTGGGGGCAGTGTCCTGCAGACCTAATGTAGGACGTAGCTTGGATTGAGTTACCACTGTAGTGGTTATGGTGCTTGGAGTCCTCCTTTAAATTACATCAAAGCCTGGATATCATTTTTCTCTTTCTTTTAATTGTGACTAAGCAAGAATAGAATGAAAAGTGAACTATCTGCACACTAAATAACTTTTATGTTTTCATATTTCACTACATGCTGCTCTGTTTTTTTTTTTACAGATGAAATAAAGAGTCTCATTGATGAATGTAAAAATGAAACACAGATTGTCAATGATCGGTATACAATCATTCGGCAGAAGTAAGATTAATATGCACATTTTATGTTTTGGTACCACAGTGTTAAATACAAATACCTTGATAACTCATGGTAGACAATTGTTTAGTTTTGTGCTATTCAAGTGAACACATATAATGGCTTTGGATTATAATAGGTTTTTTCTTCACAGTAATCAAAATACTGTTTATTTCAGATCTAGTTACAATCATTCAGTTTATAACTAGAGTTGAGCGGACACCTGGATGTTCCGGTCCGGCGGGTTCGGCCGAACTTCGGAAAGAAGTCAGGGTTCGGGCTCGAACTTGACCCCAAACCCGAACCCCATTGAAATCAATGGGGACCCGAACTTTTGGGCACAAAAATGGCTCTAAAAAGTCCTGGAAAGGGCTAGAGGGCTGCAAAAGGAAGTAAAATTGGGGTAAACAAGAGTAAACAAATGCAAACAAATGTGGATAGGGAAATCACTTAAAATAACATAAAATACATAAAAATACAGCTGAGCCATAAAATAGCACTAGATGGAATCTTTGATTTTAGCATTGGAAGAACATAAATCAAAATCTAAAGCATGGCTGTCTGGAGGTTTACCAGAATTATCCATTTGAGAGAGGGTTGGAGTGCAGGGTATTCTCTTTCATTGTTCAAACTGAGCTCAACTCCTGATGCCATGGCCTATGATCAGGAAAAGAAAATTACGGTAAGTAGGAAAATATAAATATATATATATATATATATATATATATATATATATAATTTGTAGTCGGGGCAATGTAGCCAGGATAATAGTGTAACATAGCATATTATAACCAATAGACTTATTCAAATGACACCAGTCGGTTGTGGTGTGCCGGAACCGACAGAGCAGTAGGCCTGTAATAAAAGTGGGCCCACCTTAGAGGGTGATATGAATAGAGGGAGCGGTGGGAGGGGTGATTCGCCAGACTGTCCACGGTAAGGTGGGAGAGGATTGGACGCCCTTTTAAGTGAATTCAAGCCCCTCCCACAACTACAGGCAAAGGCCTTACATTTGTAGTTGGGGCAATCTAGCCGTGATAATAGTGTAACATAGCGTATTATAACCAATAGACATATTCAAATGACACCAGTCGGTTGTGGTGTGCCGGAACCGACAGAGCAGTAGGCCTGTAATAAAAGTGGGCAAAAAGAAGAATACCATACAAAATTAATCATATAACAACCATCGTTTATTCGGATAAGTCACAAAAAGCTTGTATTACCTTTTATAACTGGGTACGAAATGTAAGGAGTATAGGCGGAGAACTTCCAGCGTCCCATAGCCCCGATGACATGAGCTGGAATGTGGTTGGAGGAAGCCGAGAATGCTGCCCCCACGCGGAATGAGTGTCCTGATGAAAGGTTTGTATTAGGCCGAGCCTAGTTCACAGTAAGTGAACATGAAGCATGATTTAAAATGCTGTAAGAATGGAGCCATGAAGTTCTGATAATGTTTGGAGTGGTTGTATCTTGTAAGTGGTGCAATAAGTATCCCGAACTTTACCGGGCACCATTGTCTAGAGTAGGTAATAGGAGTATGGTAACCGTATGTGCTATAGTGATAGGTATAGACTGATGCAGAGATAGGACCTAATGGTCTAAGGTGTCTGGATATCAGTCGTTCCCAGGTATTCAGTGGTAGTTATATTCTAAGTGGTAAATTCCTGGGACGTAGCGACCCATGGCATGCTAGATGTATGGCCGTTTGATTGTCGTATGGTCATGTGCTCAACAGGAGCTGAATCTACTAAGTAGGATAGTGAATGAAATATGCCGTGTGGATGGGTAGCCTTTGAGTTGGTACGTGTGTCTTGGATTTTGCATTCCTTTCAGTAGGTCTTTATCAGATAGAATGAGAGGAATCCTGTATTGTTGGGGTGTTAAATGATAATTTAAGTAAAGGTGGCAAAAATAAGTGAACCCCAATAAAAGATTCCATAGCAAACATGTCAAGAACTTGAAACCCCACTATAGCCTTAGTGAAAATATGTGAACACCCTATCGTATAAGTACCTAGTGTTGACTGAAAGTGTAAAGTGAGAAATGTGATGTGCAAGGGTAAACCGAACATTTAATCCATGAGTATGTCTCGGAAAGGCGGGGCAGGTAAGCTAGCCTGGAAGAGGTGGCAGTGTCTGACCGAAAGCCTAAAACGAAACCCATGGAAGTGGTCAGATGAGATGTTCGTGAAACACGGCACGTGAATACATGTGATAAGATTTGCAAGTGGCTACCCATGTGAAATTCCTCAACCGTCTCCTGATGACCAGAGACGAAGATCGGCCTATATGCACAATAGCTAGGTGTATGTGACTAATATCCGACCGAATGACCGGACCATAATGGTCCCCAGGCTACGGCAGCTGTCATGATCGGACATCATTCAAACAAGGCCGAAGTAGAGGAGAAGCTGGGTCGGGACTTAACGTCTATGGGCCAAGACGCGCCACGCCATTTAACCCCTCAGATGGCCGCAAAACCAGAGTTTGCCGCGGCATCTGTCCAAACGGAGGGTGAAATGTCGGGGAAATATGGGCATGCCCTTTCCAGTATTTAGGAAAGCGCCACATAAGTAAATCAGAGGTTGCATGAGTGACTAACATGATACGTGATGCGTCTGTGGAGAGTCGTGGGAATAAGGAGCAGTAACCGGGAAAAGAAGGATCTACCCTGTGAGATGAATTGCATGCAACATCGAGCGACCCCAGCAGCAATTGAAGTTCCTCGCGGTTGCCAGACCTAGTTGCAAGAAGAGTTCAAATGCATGATAGGGTGCGCTCAATCCATGTCCTGGGCAGGGCCGGTGCAAGGATTTTTGCCGCCCTAGGCAAAAGTAAAGTTTGCCGCCGCCCCACCCATATGATCTGCCATGTTAACGAACGCCAGTGTTGCAGTGCCGTTCCGCCGTGTTTACATTAAAAGGCCTGCAGGGACAGGCTATGGACACCAGAACCACTACATTAAGCTGAAGTGGTTCTGGGGACTAGAGATTAGTGCCACGAATAATTTACTAGATTGCCTACTTACAACCAGATGAGGATGATGATTGGCTCTAGCTGCAGTCTGGCTCCACTGGTCTGGTGTAGAACAGGCTCTCTGGAGGCTGTTTGTAACTGTGGTCACAAAAATCAATGTTCTGGGAGAACGGGAAGCAGCTCCATTTTTTTTAAGGCCCTTTACACAGCTCAAGGTCTGGGTCCCAGGGTCCACCTTCATGTTCCACCAATGAGTTTGTTCACAGGGGGTGGAGTAGGGGGATGTCCTGATATGTGTGTAAGGAATGCATTGTGTGAATCTGTGTTTGTATGTGTAAGGGCTGCAAGGTGTGTTTCTGTGTATGTACGGGATGCAGTGTGTGCGTCTGTAAGGGGTGCATTGAGTGTGTGTAAGGAATGCATTGTGTGTTTCTGTGTGTGTAAGGGATGCATTGTGTGTAAGGGTTGCATTGCTTGTGTGTGTGTCTGTGTGTAATGCATTGTGTGTTCTTCTGTGTGTAAGGGGTGCATTGTGTGTGTGTGTGTGTGTGTGTGTGATGGATGTCAATCTCTTCTCCTCCCTCTCTTCTCCCCTGCTTGTCCCTCTCTTCTCCTCCCTCCCTTGTCCCTCTCTTCTCCCCTGTTGTCACTCTCTTCTCCCCTCCCTCCCTCCCTCCCCTGTCAATTCCCCTCCCTGTCAATTTCTTCCCACCCACCCTGTGAATTTCTTTCCCCTCCCTTTCAATTTATTCCTTCCCTGTCAATTTATTCCCCCCCATCCCTCCCTTTCAATTTATTCCCCCACTTTCCCTGTCAATCTATCCCCCTCCCTGTCAATTTCCTCACCCCCTTTCAATTTACCCCCTTGCCCCCCCCTTCCTGTCAATTCCCCCCTTTCCCCTGTCAATTCCCCTTCCCTTCCCTTCCCTGTCAATCCCTCCCTTCCCTTCCCCTGTCAATCCCCCTTCCCTGTCAATTCCCCCCCCCCGTTCCCTCCTGTCAGCCCCTCTCCTCATGCTGCGCCCTGGCTGTAGGTGTGCCCTCATGGACGCACCGCCTGGGCAAAGCTGCAGCCGCCTGAGGCTCTTTACAGCATGAGGGGGCAGCATGAGGGGGGCCGGCGCTCCTGGCGGCACCCCTTCCCAAGGGGCGCCCTAGGCAGCTGCCTAGTCCGCCTAACAGGTAGCGCCGGCCCTGGGGAATCCTTAGGTATGTGTTTTTACGCTACTACAGCAAACCGCTAATATGCTTTAGTTTGCATTTGTAGTGGCAGCCATTAATGGTGATAGGCTACAAACATTTAGCAACAAGGATGGAAACCTTCCAGCTATTGTTAATTGTAACAGATGATTGCAACTATTTACCACTTTTGCTTGTATTTTTTTGCAGAATGGAGAAAATTAAGTAGTAAAAAACAAACTTTGAAAACATATGGAATGTTTCTTGCCATCAAAAATAATAGATTTGACTTTAAAACTTATTTCAGCTTGAAGGACTGTGCTTACAACAAACCACTGGACTTAGCTGACCTCATAACAAATACTTGTCAATTAAAGGAACCTGAATGCCTGTGTGCCTCACTCCAGCCCCTCAAAGAGATCATCAAACTGGTTCAAGAAAAATCAATCAAAATCACAGGTGAGAGTTCTACTTATTTGGAATTCCTTACAGATTTAACCCCTTAAGGACACATGGCATGTGTGACATGTCATGATTCCCTTTTATTCCAGAAGTTTGGTCCTTAAGGGGTTAAAGGAGCAGCGTCACTTCTCTGCAAGCAACCGTTTTTCATTCTCTCACCACATTAAAGGCTAATTAAGTGCTTGCTCAGCCAGAGCAGAATTAACTATTGTACAGCGCTATGGAATCTGATGGCACTATATAAATAATAAAATAATAATAACTATAAGGCGATCTTAGGCAGCTTCCGAGCACTCAGAGATTAGGCAGAGGCCCCTGAACCTAGAATTTGCTTGGCCTCATTCACCATCTCTATGTATACAATAAATGGGAGCTCCAAACTAGTATCCTACCCAGGGCCCTGCAAGATCTTAATCCTTTTCTGTGCTGGGGTAAAAAACAAAAACAAATTACATCTGCATGATTTAATATCTAGGGTAACCTCAACAATTATAATGCTGTGCTCACTCACGCTTAGGCATCGCGAGAGAAACAAGGTTTAAGCACAGATACGTTGAGTACTTCCTTCACGAGTATAGTATGTACAAATGGCATTGTGTGGGTTACATTTCCATGTTAGCAATTCAATATATGTTTAAAAGGTTCACAATGTGTTTTTACATTTATAAATTATACATTTTTTACATAGAACTCTACAGGTGTCTACAGTTGAAGTCTTGGGGATGGTGTTAGCGTTAGCACTGGAATCAGAATGTCCTTATGATTATGTTTGTACATAGTATTACTATGAAACATCACAGGTGAAAGATCGAAAACCGTAAGCTTATAATAATATCTCCATTCATTTGGTTGCGCTATATCTTAGACAGCATTTATTTTCTACAGACATGTGAGACCACTCCTTCATTCCACTCTACACTTTGGCTGCCACATATTTGTAATATCCACTCCTTCAAAAAATCGTTAAAAACCCACTTCTTCATAAAAGCGTATCAATTAAACTGTTAATAGCTCCCGACTAATTCCTCTTCTGCACCTGTCACTAGTCTAATACTATCCTTACCTTTTTGTGTCATTTTACCCCACTCCCTCTAGCATGTAAGCTCATTGAGCAGGGCCCTCAACCCCTCTGTTCCTGTGTGTCCAACTTGCCTGGTTACAACTACATGTCTGTTCGTCCACCCATTGTAAAGCGCTGCGGAGTTTGATGGCGCTATATAAATAACATTATTATTATTATCAGATGCTCTTTAGGTTTTTAATAACATTTTGTTTTCATATTTCCTGACAGATGAGCTGTGGAAATTGATTTCAGATTTAACAGGCTGTGTCCCTCCACTTGTTCCCAAAAAGTGTCAGGACAGCACGTATCGCACCATAACTGGGGAGTGTAACAACCGGTGAGAAAAGATATCATATTTTTAAAGAAAAGGAACAAAATATAATTATGAATAGAGAATCACTCTACAATACTACCTCCAATAATGGTTGAGCGTTTTTAAAAAGGCACAAAATTCAGATTTGGTACAACCAGAACTCCAATATTGGTTGAGCATTTACACCAAATTAAATTATATTATGTAATGAAACTATTATAACATCTCACTCATGCAAATTACCTCCTGCTCTATCCATTTATGCACCATTATACCTCTTTTTTCCCCTTTATTGATGCTTGTTCTCTCAGTATCACCTACCATTCGCCTCACCTGTGCTCTCTTTCAAAACTGAATTTTTTCCCTCTTTTATGCCTTTTACATATTATCCTATATTCCTTTTATCACTTACCCATAGGGGTGACAATATATAGCTCAATGTCAACAAGGTGAGTTATACACAGGAATGTGGCGAATATTTATAAATTAAAGGAAGAATGCTCCCTACTTGTTACTGGAGTCAGCAGTCATGTTTAACTCTCTTGACCAGCAACATGAGAACACGGAGGAGAGGTGTGTTTTGTGTTAAAATGTGTTTGACCACAGGAAATGGTGCGGACTTAGCTCCTCTTCTGGGTTAAAGCTGGTCAAGCGTAGGAAAAATACATAAGACAAAATAGTCTTTTCTTTGTCTTATGTTTTAAAGAAAACTAGAACAGTTAGGAAGAAAAGAACATATTCTGAAAAAGGGAGAGATGAGGGACCGATTGGGGAAAGGTAAGTTTGGCATTACAGTGCCGCTTTAAATGTGAAATTCGATTTGAATTCTCAACATTTATCACTTAAGAAATTAAGCCTGTAAGATCTAAAATTTACCTTGGACTCTTAACAATTCACACAGTGAATAACCTTGAATATTTATGTTCTTTCAACTCAACATACCATGTTCAAAGATAGAAAAAGACAGACCTTATAGGATCAACTGGGTAACTAAATGGATGCGGTGGATTTCTACATTTCGTTTTATTTTACAGACTTCACAAGTGCATATTTGTGAGACAGAGGGGGTGTGAAAACCTAATATTGAAGATTATATAAAATCTTAATGGAACACGTCACTGTCCAAAAAACAAAATAGTAGACATACCCCAAGTAAAAACATGCTTGCATTTAATTATGCATTTTTTTTTCATTTGGGGTATATATAAAAACAGCTTCTCAAAAGTTGCAGTTCTCTTATCTCCTGCCTTACAAACCCTCCTCTTCAAACGCAGCCTGGACTTTCTGTGGCTGTCCAATCACAGACTTCCCAATGCAGCTTTATGAGAACTTTTTGCAAGGCAGGAGCTCTCTGGACTCTTGAGTTTAGCTAATCAATCCAGAAGGTAACATCACTGGTTTTCTGAATGACAGCCAGGGGGTGTAGCAAGGTTAATTGATAAAACTGCCAATTTCTATTGAAATCTGTATTTTTATAAAATGAAAAAAAAAAAAAAAAGGACACATGATTCACAAATGAAGCATTTCAGTAAGCTAAAGTGCTCTAGGGGGTCTGGAATGTCTTTTGACATGATTCACAAATGATGCATTTCAGTAAGCTAAAGTGCTCTAGGGGTTTTGGAATGTCTTTTGAATAATCAAATATTTCACATTCCAGTGGTCACAATCTGGTCAATAAAGGCTTAAGCCAGCAGGACCTAGTCATGAAATAATAATTGTTATAATTTATCGTTTTATACTCATTGTGGAATAGGTTAAACAAAGAACAGAGCAGGTAGCCTGTAATATGTGCTTTAAGGGATTCTATAGTTCCCCCTGTTTTTTCCCCCTTCTCCCGTAGCGCTGAAGGGGTTAAAACCTTCAATCACTTACCTGAATCCAGCATCGATGTACCTTGGCGCTGGGTCAGTCTCCACCCCTGCGCTCCTCCCCGGCCAACAGGGAGACCTAATGCACATGTGCAGCAAGCGCCGTGCTCACATTAGGATTCCCTATAGGATAGCATTATTTCAATGCTTTCCTATGGGGATTTGATTGATGCTGGATGTCCTCATGCACAAAATGAGGACATCCAGCATCAGTTAGTTTTGGTCTGGTATACAGCCACTAGAGGGGAGTTAACCCTGAGACGTCCCCAAAACCAAAACATCTCTACAAATTCTCCAACTGAATAAAACATTGAAAAGTTATAACCTTATTCATGTGCTGATCTGTTTTCTTTTGAATATATTGTAAGGATGTAGAAATCTAGAATGAACATTACAGTTCACTTGTAGCACTTATAGTACTAATAGACAGGGCAATAAGATGGAAGAGCTGAATTCTAGGGTATGTTAAATGTAAGGCATTAGTACACATAAAATAAATAATCATGGCACATAATATCACTGTGTGACTTCTATATTTCCAGGAAGAATCCCAGCCTTGGAGCCGCTAATACAGGCTACAACCGATTTCTACCAGCTGAATATGAAGATCAACATGACCGTCCCCATGGCTGGACAGAGAGCAAGCTGTGGAATGGGTTCCCCATACCATTGGTAAGAATATGAGTATGAATGTATGCATGGATGGGGTCCATAATTTTGTGGGTGGGTTTTAATACCATATACTTTACTTTTTAAGTAGGATGAAAAAAATAAATATGTTTGAAGGTGAACTGTCACTTACCAGGATTTTTAATGTCACATTTATCCCAAGTATATATTATATTATTGTCATTTATATAGCACCAACATATTTGTCAGTGCTTTACAGTTATTGAAAAGGGAAACCTGGGAATTCCTGCTCAAACAAACTTATAATCTATGAAGATTTTAGGTGAGAAGATATACTTCATTAGGTGGCTCACCCACCAGCTAGTGATCTAACCTGATTTGAGTCCGAGTTGCCCAGTTCTACATCAGCAATATTACCATTGCTCTAACTAGCCAATATCTATCCGTCAATCCATCCATCCATTAATTTCAAGAGATGCTTAAATGTTAAGGGTGTGAATGGGGTGTGGCGCGGGACGGGACTGTTCTGAGAAATATTACATGACTTACTAACATCACAAATTAAATTTATTTTAGAACAGGGATAATGTATTCCAATTTACACAGACTGATGTATTGTACTTTAGGGACACATTATAAGTACTAAATAGTGAGAAACTGCATTCTGTATGCTGTATCTAAAAACTAGCGACTGCGCAGCTATTGCAGTCTCTAGAAATGTCCCATCCCATGGATAGGACCAAAATAACAGGAGGGAACAAATAAGGAAATAATGAGGGTTGACAGATCACTCTCCAGTTCCCATGTGAACATTTATAGCCAGCAGGTGGATACTACTTCTAAAACGGGAATGACTTATGTTCCCGCAGGCCCTACCCATAGGCTCAATGTGAGGGTTATGAATTTTAAAAATACCCAGGGGTCCTAACATCCCTCTCCGCTTCACCCATAGATCGTAGATGCAGGCTATTAATTGTATAATACCAAGGGGGCATTATTGTTCCCCCTTCCCAATAAAAATATTTTATTAGTAGAGGTTGGAGGCTCCAAATAAAATATTTTTGCCACTATTTCTTTTTCTTTTTTTTTGGGTTGTGTGGCAATGATCTTGAGGACCCCTAGGCACCCTGGGGAGGTAATGGGGTGTGTAGCGGAGAGCTATTATTGCATAGCCTACCTCCACTTGTAAATCCCAGTGAGGCTCAGGAACAGCAGTTACAAATCCACAGGCAAAGTATCCAATAAAATAATCCAATAGTATCCCAACAGCACTCCCAATAACTGGACGACACACAGTATCAGGAGCAGAACTCACAGCTTTATTCCACAGTGGCCTTTTAAAGCATGCTCCCATGCAAGGGAGGGATTACATTCATTATCACAATAGCCAATCCTGTCCTGGTAACCTCCCACACATCTCCTCCCCTCAGCCGGCAACATAATCCCCTTATCCAGTACAGCAATTCCCCCGTTTCTGGATGTACCCCTACACCTAGGGGTACCATTTTAAATTATGCATCCCCTGGTAGCTCTGATCTGGGTGAACAACATATCCAAAAATCACCCAGATCAGACCAGGTGTTCGGGAATTTCACGGAGGGAATAAAATGACCGACCGCACTGGAAGAACTAGCCGAATTGGGCTCCATGCAAAGGGGCCCTGCGGTCGGTCCTGGAAAAGAGGCTGGGGAGGGTTCACCTGAATCCCCTCGTTTCGTTGATTATGCCTACCGAACAAGGGGCCGTTCGGTAGTTTGGAACCGAACAGACCGGGCTGATGGAGGTCTCAGCGGTGTTCGCCTAGTCGAGTGTCCGTTTTGAGTTCCAGACACTCGACGGCAAAACACCGCTGTTCGGGAGTTTAAAATGGCCGCCGCCACGTGTTCGTTTCCCGAATGGCGGCCACCCCCGAGAACAAGGATTGCTATACAGTTTGTCAATTACCCGTTCGCAACAATGTTGCAACGGGTAATTGAAGGCACACTTCACACCGCGGAGGTCTGATTGTTCGGTAGTTTCATTCCCTTATTTGTTAGAATGATTCTACCGAACAATCAGATGAATAACATTACATTACTGCATATACATTTAGCAAATAGACGAATACAGGGTAAAAATAATACAAGTCCCAGGACAGCTTATGGCCATCCGCTACAGGGTGGCCAATGGTAAAAGGTTATGGGAAGGATAGACAGCTGTATTTCCACTTATTATTCTATATTTTATTAATAAGCCCCAACCAACAACATAGCTTATAAAATGAATAGACCCTACAGATTTTACACCAGACTTCACACACCTAAAGTTTCTGACCGAGACACAGGTTCTCACCAAAATTTGCATTAGTAAATATGAGAATTGCCTTTCTAGTCATAATTTGTCATTTTTGGCTATTTGGACTAAATCCATTGATTAGTTAATAATCATGGTGGTTTTGAGGACTGGATTTATTTAGCTTCAAGAGAAGTGCATCAGTAAGATCTTTTTTGTAATTATTATTGCTTTCTTTATTCAGGTTCGCTCAGTGTCAAATTTGATTGTCAAAACAGAACAGTGGACTAAGGATCCTGACAGATCCATCTGGTTCACGGCGATGGGCCAACAAATTGCTCATGAAATTACCTTTGCATTACCAAGCCCCACAAAGACTGATTTTTATGACCGCAGTAACTGCACCACAAATTGCATCCGTGAAGATCCATGCTTCCCAATTAAGGTAATTAGCTTATTAAAGTTTCTGTTCCACCTATGCATGCTGACCATATAACATATATTTTTTTTAAATTGAGGAAATGTCATTCCCAGAAAAGTAATAGCTTATTTTTCCTTCACCTCAGTAACTAGTGCTTACTGTGAATAATGCAGCAAAGACTGTGGAAAAAAAACTGATGCACTTCCTGGTTGCAGTGACCTCGCTGCCGTACGATGCCTCAGCAGGCACGTGTGCATGGATGATAGCTAATGTAATGTGTGCATGCACGCTCTGCATTTTTTTTTTACCAGTGTCATACGCATATATGCTCCATGTGTTCGGCACTGCTAAAATGAATGCATTTACATACAACGCATATAAATGAAAATAGCAAAAAATATATATCTACAAAGAATCATAATAAAAAATAGCACATCTTATTGCTAACATTTAAGGGGTTGTTCACTAAATACTGTATTTTACCATGGTGTTCGGATGAACAAAAACAAAATCCTGCGGAAATTGAAGATTATGCTAGCGTTAGTGTACTTATAATCTTAAGTTTAGTAATGACAGGAGGCGAGTATTTTGCATAAAACTCTCTTTACTAACTCCACATAGCAGTAAAGAAACATGAAAACCTTAACCAATCAAAATGCAATAGGAAGTATAGTATTCACAGTGACGAGGCTCCTCCCCCTCTTTCGAAAGCTACATCATGGATAAAGTTCCAAAAGGTCCAAAGTATTGTAACATGCACCAACAGGTGACTTTCCAATAAACAAACTTTCAATGGATGAAGGAAGGTCCAAAGGTGCCCATCCTGAAAATGAACTGTAATGCTGCGAATTTACACTGAAAGAGAACGTGAAATAGGTTGGGTACCGGTCTGGAAACTGTTTGAAGTAATGGTAATAACCCAACGCAATCTCACAGAGATGTCACATTATCGGCTATCAACGACTGATTATAAACGACAAGTAAATGTTATTAACAAACACAATCCGAACATATCCCCATATCTAGGAGGAGCGAGCAAGACAGAGGCAAGGAAGGAATATATTGAAGATAGATATACTTACGTGAGTCCTTTCTCCCCAAATGTGGGAAGGGTGGGAAAATACTCGCCTCTTGTCATTACTAAAATTAAGATTATAAGTACACTAACGCTAGCATAATCTTACATTTTACCACATAACAGGAAGCTTCCTATTTTGCATTTTTAATGCTGATGTAGGCAAGACGTGGCCGCCCCTGAGCTCGGGCGGAAGTAGAAAGTCCGAAATGTAGATTCTCGCGACCAGTCCGCGGAACATAGGATATCCGCCAGCGAAGCGCCCGCCGAGAAAGCCACCGCCCCGCGAATGGAGTGGGCTCCGAAGACCTCGTCCACTCCCGCCAGTGATAGAATCCATCTTATCCATCTGGCGAGAGTGGTAGTCGAGACGGGTACGTGAGGTCTATCGTAAGACACAAAGAGTTGTCCCGAAGAGGAGAATCGAAGCGGGGCTGTGACCTCCGCATACTGATGTAGAGTGGACATCACACAAAGTTGAGGATCGGTGGGAAAAAAAAGGGTAGAAGACCGACATAGAGTCAGATTTCGTACGACGCGATACTCGAAAGGTAACACCCTCTGGGGAGACCGAAAGAGCATCGTTGTAGAAGGCCTGCACGTCCGATACCCGGCGGAACAAGACTAGGCAAAGCAGGAGCGTCATTTTAGCTGAGAGTTGTCTGAGGGAGAGTCTGCCGTTATCCAGCCAGTCTCTCAAAAACTGTAAGACAACTTCGACGTCCCATAAGTGAGAGTATTTGGGCCTCAGAGGTCTCTGTAATCGGATGCCCCTTAAGGAGTCAGCATACCAGTAGGTCTTTCCCTACGGGTATCCCCATGACCGGTACGTGAGCCGCCGAAATCGTGGAGCGCACGACGTTGAGTGACCGGTAGGTGCGACCCGCAGAAAAAGATAGGAAAGAAAATTCAGGATGGCCGTTATAGGTGCAGTAAAGGGATCGAGGTTCCGTTCACTGCACCAAGAGGACCAGGACTTCCAAGCTGATAGGTAACATCGTCTGGTTCCTGGTGCCCATGAATCCCATATGAGATCTCTAGCCGCTTGCGATATTTCGCTGGTGTGCCAGGCACCCCTGAAAGAGTCTGGGCCACCAAGGCGAGATGGTCTTCCAGGATGAGAGGATGAGGGTTCCCAGTGGCGTGAGAACCAGTCCGCTGTCAGGTTCATTTCTCCCGGGAGATATTCTGCCATGAGGGAGATTTTGCAGTATCTCCTTTGCAATCTCTGAGAGTAGTCGGGACCGTGCTCCTCCCAAGCGGTTGATGTAGCGGACCGCTGAGACGTTGTCCATCCGGAGGACAATGCAGCAGTTCGTCCTGTCCCTCGCTAGGCTGCGGATCGCGAACTATCCCGTTAGGAGTTCCAGACAATTTATGTGAAGGTCGATTTCTTGAGCAGTCCAGGCACCTCTTGTCGACTTGCCTTCGCCCTTAGCGCCCCAGCCCCAGAGGCTGGCGTCCGATTCCAGGTCTATGTCGGACGTGTTCCCGAAGGAAGAAAGGAGGTCATCAGGCGTTGCATCGCCCTGTAGTGGAGCGGTCCCGGGAAGATTGCCTGGAGTATACACACAGAATATATACATAAAGTAGTATACACAAATCACCATAAACAGTAAAAAATTAAAGGGAAGAGCCAAAACTCTGACCTGTCTGCTGATGGAGCAGTAAAGAAAGAAGGGGAGGAGCCTCATCACTGTGAATACTATACTTCCTATTGCATTTTGATTGGTTAATGTTTTCACTTTTCTTTACTGCTATGTGGAGTTATTAAAGAGAGTTTAATGCAAAATAGGAAGCCTCCTGTCATGTGGTAAAATTATAGAATTCTTCACACAATGGCAATTCTTATATTAAGGAAAACCAAATACAGTCAGAATTCTAGAGTTCGGATGCATTCGGCGGCCGGATTAAAACCTGTGCTTTCACATCTGAATCTTATACAAAGTATGGGATTTAAAAAGCACTGACTTTGGACCGTAAGGGGCCGACTGCATCCAGAAGGATGCACATTCACAAATTATGGTACGATTTGTCAATTGGCAGTGCTAGCAGCTAGATGGCAAATTGTTAAATAACCGTCAGCAATAAAATGTACTGGCTGGCCAGCACTTGTTAGTCAGCCAACACATTAAAAAGTTTTAAAAAAATAAAGCCTATGAGGGCAAGAATTTCATTAAGGTTGGTTTAAAACCTCTCTATGCCTGTATGGCAGTTGGGGGCATATCTACTAATGTCTACATACATATCATTTTTTGGGGACACTTTATTATGTTTTCATGGGTGACATGTAACAAGTCATAGAAAAAGAATCTAGAATCTTTGTCAGGAAATGTTCACAAAGAACATGTAAAGCATAAAATATAAGACAATGTGTAGTCTAAAAGGCTAGTGAACCCTAGTAAAACGTACAGCTTGGTGACAATCCCAAAAATGAACTAATACAACATACACATATGCACACTAAAATACTAACAGATACACACATACTATTGCACATATACACTCAAACACTCACAGATACACACACACTATTATACATATATGCACTCACAGATACACACAATCTGTTATACATAAACATTGTTACACATGCAATAAAAAGAAAAAAGAAAAACAGTTTATTCCCCCAGCCCCTAGTTATCTACTATGTTGTTCCAGTGTATCTACTCCCACAAGCTCTGGTGTATGGAGCATTGACATGGAAACTCACAGTTAAATGTAGTCCGTCTTCCCCTGCACACATGGTGGTGCAGAGACAGAGTGTTTCAATTGAAATGTGTTTCTGTATGAAGTATATATGTTTGCGTAAATTCAGGAGTGTATTTTTGTAGTCTTGGTGATTGAATGCAGGGTTATACTTTTGTTTAGTTGTGGGGTGTTTGGATGCAGGTATGCCATATACATATACAAAGGGCTATACAAGAAAGGGCTCCAAAGCCCATGTGTCCATGACCCCTGAGGTAGCTGCCCCGGCTGCATTGCTGGTCATTCTGCCTCTGCTTTAACATAGAATAATCTTATGATTCAAATAAACATTATGCACATTTTTATTTAACACAAACTATAATGTAGTAATTGTGTAGTAAGAGGTTAAACTGCAGATTCAGGGGACATGACTTAAAGCATTATTCACTAAGGTGAATTTCAAATTTAAAGGCAGAGTGGTGGAATTTAAGGCCATTGTACAGAACACTGGTGAGATCTCGTACTGGAGATCGTATCTTCAGAAGGATATTGATACTTTCAATATCAGAGAAGGGCTACTAAACTGGTTCATGGATTGCAGGATAAAACTTACCAGGAAAGGTTAAAGGATCTTGACATGTATAGCTTGGAGGAAAGACGAGACGGGGGATACGATAGAAACATTTAAATATATAAAGGGAATCAACACCATAAAGGAGGAGACTGTGGCAAAACTAGCCACTTAAGACTATTCATAAATTGAATGTGTTGATCTCCCTGTTTCAGCTGTGAGAACCAAGTGTATTACTGTATGTGTCTTTCAGACGAATGAGGGCGTTCGTATGCTTGCAGTGTGAAAAACCCAGCATTCCCAATGTAGTTTCAAGAACAGTGAGTTTCAACACTGTTCGTGAAACTAATAAACTACCGAATGGTCGACCACACACAAGAGGTCGTGTGGCGCCCATTAACTGATTGCAACATTGTTGCAATCGGTAGTTAAAGGCTTCCCTAGGTGGCTGTCGTTCGGCTACCGACCACGCGGCAGTCGGCCATCTTGGATCCTTTGTTAGCCCAGCGGGGTTTTGCCATTGAGCGCCTGGAACTAAAATCGTCTACTCGACGGCGCGAACACCGCTGGACTTCCAGGCCATTCGGGAGCCCCGGGCGTTCGGTAGTTTGTTCCCCTAATAGTAATCGCTATTTTAACAGTGTGTTGGAAATAATGTGTATTTCGAGCGGCGTTCGGTTAGTTAGACTGGGAGCTGAGCGGTATTCTCACGAACTGTGCGCTCAGCCTCCAGCTCTCTACTGAACGTCCATTCGTTAAAATACAGTGAATATCAAGTAAGTTATACATTTCAATGTAAAATGTAAGTTCTGCTGCACGGAGGGATAATCCCCTTAACGGTATATTCCAGTGGGAGTAGCCCTCCTGTCCAGCAGTGCATGATGGGAGAAATGTATGTGTTGGTCAGTTCCCCATGTAGTCCCCTACTGTACCACCCCTGGAATGTCAGTAGGGAAACCCCTTGCATGGGGAATCCCATAAATACAGTGACCTGTGATTAAAAGCTCAGTTGACTCCCAGCCTATGTGTCGTCTAGTTCTTGGGAAGGAAGGATTCTTATAACGCTACCGGGATTATTGTATGCTGTATTCATTTCCTTGGATTATTTTATGCTGTTCCTGTTACCCAGGAGATACTGTAGATTATACTACCTCTCCGCTACAGAGACTATATTTAAATTAAGAAAAATTACCACAATAAGAGGACAGTCTTAAATTAGAGAGGCCAAGGTTTAAAATAATATCAGGAAGTATTACTTTACTGAGAGGGTAGTGGACACATGGAATACCCTTTCAGCTGAAGTGGTAGAGGTTAACACAGTGAAAGAGTTTAAGAATGCTTGGGACAGGCATAATGCTATCCTAGCTATAAGACCAGGGAGAATTTTGAAAATTGGGCAGACTAGATGGGCCGATTGGTTCTTATCTCACATTCGATGTTTCTATGTTTGTAAGTAAAGCTAGCTTAGATAATTCATATAGTTCAGCTATTTTGACCTTAAATTTGAAATTCACTTTGAATTTTCACTTTAGTGAATTACCCTGTTAATGTAATATTTCAAGCATGATATAGAATTATCTGTATTAAAATTGGATTTATTTGAAGGCATCATACATTTAGAATGATTTGGAAGGTCTTCTGTCAATATTAGAATATTTCAATTATTTTGTTTGTTACATTTTTGGTACACTAATTTTGGGATCTTAATCTGTAACCTATGTTATTATTCATGTCTGTTTTGTTTGAAGATTCCACCAAATGATCCTAAGAATCATAGTGGCTGTATACAGTTCATCCGTTCAGCTCCAGTGTGCAACCTGGAATCTCCAAAACGTGAGCAGACGAATGGTGTCACAGCTTTCATTGACGGTAGCGCAGTTTACGGTAGTGATAATCAAACGGCCGAAGAGCTTCGTGACCATACAAACGATCTGGGTCTGCTATCAGTTAACCAGAACGTCACAGACAATGATCACCCATACTTGCCATTTGATCCAAATAGTGGAGGTGCATGTGTTAATGGTACTCCCTGCTTTAAAGCAGGTAAGTGGAAAGTGAAATTTATAATATATAGTTAATTTACAGAGAATTATATTTCACACACTATTACACTTCAGGGATTATAAGTGTTAAGATTCCTGAGTTCAGGGGGGCGGAGCTAAGACCTGAAGCCGAGCAGACGCCATATCTGCGAGCTCCTATCTTGAAACTGGGAAAACCAGTAATATCTTGAGAAACACTCGCTACGCAGTCCATAACACAACACAAGCGAAACCGGGATCGAAAACCGAATCGGTAGCTGCCTTTCATGCTTACACCGAGGTCTGTCAAACTGAAACACAGACCCAAGGCCTACCAAACACTGACCATCTACGACCTGGAGAAACTGATCGGCGGAGCCTACATACATGGTGACTTTGATCCGGACAACGATATTTACCCATACCAACACAATACACCAGAGCCCATGGGGAAGCACACACAAAAAGTCCACACCGGAGCCAATACAGAGCAGCAGGACATCGGCACATTGTTGCAGCGGCAGGTAAAACCTAAAATGGCCCCCACAGACCCAATGCCACCCTGCTCACGACCCACACAGCCTCTCAAATGGACATAGACATCACGATGCTGGCAACCAATGCGGCACCGGATGGCTCCTCACTTGCCACCAAACAAGACCTACAAACCTGGGTGCAGGACATACAGAAAATGCTGGCCACAGATGTGGGTCTCCTGAAAGCAGACATGCAAAATGTCACCGACCGTGTGCGAGCGACAGAGGAAGACATCATAGATATACATAGCAGCATGACAACCATAAAACACTCTATACAACAACTACAAACTTCCCAGCAAAGCCTGACACAAATGTCCATGCAAGAAGACCGCGCTAGACGCAATCACATAAAAATCCGCGGAATACCCGCCGACACACAGGCAGATGACCTGCCATACTATAAAAGGAGGCTCCTAGCCACTATCTTGCCACCGGCAATCAACCGAAAAATCATGCTGGACGGCCTATACCGACTACCAAATGCCCCCACTGTACCCAACGCACCTACCAGAGATGTCATACTGCGCTGTGCCACCTCCCAGGACTGGAACCACATCATGACTGCCATCCGCTGCAAAACCCCTCTTGCATTTGACTCTGTCCACTAGTCGTTCTACCAGGACTTAACCCGAGCCACATTACAATGGCGCAAGTTGCTGACCCACCTAACGAGTCACTTACGCACAATAGGAGTGCCTTACCGCTGGGGAGCACTGGGAACCCTGCTAATTACCCACAATGGCACTACCCACAAGATAGCCACAGACATGGAGGTACCCGCACTTCTACTCAAATTGGGACTGCCAGATATACCTACCAATGCACCACAACGAACACAGCCCAGGGCATGGAACCCAGCCAATACCACACCGTTCTTCCCATGGTCGGCTGCCTCCACAAATCCAATGACTTGACCGGGACCGGAACAGTCTACCACCCAAGCAGTCCACATGGACCCTAAATGAATGATTGCCACTAACAGAAACCAGTAAAAGTGCCTTCGCATTCTTCTGATACCTGTTATAAAAAGTTAACATTTATTGTATCTAGAGACCCTCGCGCAGCTCCCATGTCTAGCAGCGTTAGGACTCGAGCTCTTGGCTCACTCATTATTCTAAACGTTACAGCACCACAGCAATATCCCACCGCCACCCCCTTGGTTAGGGGGTAACATAACGGCCAGAGTGTCCGCAGACACACCCAAACACTGCTAGGACGGGATCACCTGAACCACCCCACGGAGACACCCCTGACTCACAACTCGAAGATAAACATACTTAACTACACAACGCCTGTTATACATACAAAAGTGTGATCCAGCCTGTAGGTACACTAAATAGTGCACTTTCTCATGCCACCCTGTACTCACCACTAGGCTCACTTTGTCACATATGTGGACATACATGCTTGACCACATTAAATTGCACATAATAACAAATAAGAAAGCATACAAGCAGAACCACCACCAAAGCCTTAAGCTGTCTGAGCCCAAATTGTTTCAAAAGTGCACAACAAAAACATTCCTCTCATAGCTGTGTTCTGCAAACCAGTTACACGCACAAATAGTCTGATTTTTACCTTGTTCTCTCTCCTGTGTCTAGAAATACCTATACTCTGTCCTCGGACTTGTATGCCTAGCCTGATTTTCCCATTATATTATAAAATTGTGCAGTATCATCCTAATGTCGCACCATGCAACGTTCCTAAATGTATATGACACTATACAATATGTTCCTGTTTTTATTTGATTTTGTTTCCATTTTACAGGAGATATTCGGAACAGTCAGCAGCCTTTTATTATGGTTTCCCAAACTCTTTGGTTGCGACTTCACAACAATGCAGCTACTCAGTTGCATAAATTAAACCCAACTTGGAAGGGAAATATTCTGTATCAAGAAGCCCGGAAAATTGTTGGTGGTGTAATACAGGTGAGGTTTGTTCCTCATCTGTAATAAACTTAATATCGCATCTTTATTTATTTCCAAGTATGAATCTCGGTTGTTTTTCCTTGCCAGAAAATAGTCTTTCATGACTGGTTGCCCTTACTGTTGGGATCAAAGATGCCTAAAGTCTTACCTGAATACACATCGTACCGTGAAGCTTCAAATCCACAATTGGCCAATGGATTTACAATTGCTTACCGCATAGGTCATATAGTGGTACCAACAACCGTCAACTGGCTAGATAAAAACTATGAGGTCATCCGCCAAGAACCACTCCACAAAACCTTCAATGCCCCATGGTTTATTCTGAACAATGGTAATATGAAAATATTTACTGCATTTCCATTATAGACATACTCCAGAATTTTCTGAACATAAATAAACTCTACCAGTGACTTCAGTCTGATTTTTGTTTCCTTTATAAAAATGCATCCAAGATATTTTCTAGGATTTCAACAATTTACTAAGGGCTCATTTCCATTGTTTTTGCTACTTTTTAACAACCAGCCACTACTTGCCAAAATGCCCATCATTACTGTTAGCTAGTAGTGGCTGTTTATAGACTCTGAAATTTTACAAGGAGTGCACCTGAGTTTCCAGCAGTCACTATTTACACAGTTAGTGTCTAGGAAGTGGCTTTTGATTGTCAGTATTCTCCATGGCAGCCTCTAACAGCTACTTAGCATCTGGTTTCCAAGACAAATAAATTAATAGCAGTTACATCCTACAGGAAAAATAAATGTAACCTATATGGCATTACATGGAAACCCTCACACATATCAAAGCATTTTAAACCATATCATAAAGCAGTAAAACTAAAGGATAACAAATACATCGTTATATAAGTGCATTATATAATTCTTTATATAATCTGTCTTATTCAAACAGAGGCTTTTAGCTTCAGGTTTATAATTTGTGCTTTTTGCATCTGAACGCTATACAAAGTATAGGATTTGGAATATGTACAAAGCACCGATTTTAAACTTGATTGAGACCGAATGCATCCAGTAGGATGCACTTTTGCAAATTTTTGTTCACTTGCTTTTTGCAAGGTAATGATGATTTGAAGTACTATTTGTCCGCTAGCAGTTCTAACAGCCAGCTGTCAAATTGTTAAAAAAAACACATCGGCGGCGTAAAGGTAAATAATATAGTGGCTGGCCAGAGCTTTCTAGCCAGGCATCACATTAAAAATGTGAATTTAAAAAAAACATGTGGGGGTTCCATATGACTCCCATACTACTGTAAGGGAGCTTTTTAACCTCCTGCCATGCTGTGGGTGGGGGCACATATTCTAAACAGTGAGCCGCTAATGTAACCTTAAACTAGTGACTGGGCATTGCTGGGGACAGCAAGTGGGGGGGGGGGGGCTGGAACATGTCCTCCAGGCTCCCCCACTTGGCATTGGGTACAGGCTTTACATTAAATAATGGGTGTAGAGAGATCAGTTCCCAGTCTCAAGTCCCACCTATAGATAATTTAATAACCGTGGGGACCCAAGCTCCCCCCAGCCACACCCATGGGCAACATACATTTGTCCACCCCTCAAGTTCCCAAGCCCTAGCTACCACCAAATTAAAAATAAGCCTACCTAATGCTAATAATAGTGAGGAAAGCTCAAAAATATTGTTACTGGTGATCAGCCAGTAAATAAAAAAATCAAAGTTGGAAACTAGATGATAATCCGTAGCTGCTACTGACTATTATGAATAGTGACAGCTCTTTAGCAACAAGGTTGGAAATAAACTATGATTTTATATTTAAGGATTCAAGAGCTCATATTGTTACTATTTGTTTTGTTATAAGTAGACTAGATCCACTATTTTTGTTATTTTCTAATGTGATACATTACTGCCGCTTAGTGGGGAAAGAATAGATCAGTTTTGTAAAGTTCAGAAAACTTTTTTTTTTTTAGAGAGAGTTTTCTTCATTATATATGCTATTATATTGGGGTAAACTGCTGCCATCATGTGGGAAAGGAACAAAAAGGTTCTAAAAGTTATATAGGTATTCTTTTGTGCACATGAAAACCTTTAGAGTTTACTTTTGCAATTCAAGTTTACTTCAGAAAATGTATTAGACAAGAATCTCGTGTATCTACTTAAATATCTTTACTGGGGATTAGCACCTTTCTGCTTATTTGTGAAGTTGATTTTGGTTGGTTTGTAGGGATTCTCCCTATATTGCAGCAGTTTTAATTTATCAGGGTGGGGATCCTTCATCTCCATCCCCCAATTCACAATTTTTTGAAATTATAAAGAGCACTGATTCATTTATTGTCCTTTAACCCCTTGGTGACCAGACCGTTTTTAAAATTTTCTTACCGTTAAGGACCAGGGCTGTTTTTACATTTCTGCAGTATTTGTGTTTAGCCGTAATTTTCCTCTTACTCCTTTACTGTACCCACACATATTATATACAGTTTTTCTCGCCATTAAATGGTCTTTCTAAAGATGCCATTATTTTCACCCTATCATATAATTTACCATAAAACAAATGATAAAATATGATGAAAAAATTTAAAAAAAACAATACTTTTTCTAACTTTGACCCCCAGAATCTGTTACGCATCTACAACCGCCAACAAACTCCCATGCTAAATAGTTCCTAGATTTTGTCCTGAGTTTAGAAATACCCAATGTTAACATGTTCTTAGCTTTTTTTTTTTGCAAGTTATAGGGCTATAAGTACAAGTAGGACATTGCTGTTTCAAAATATATATTTTTAAATTTTATCAATAGTGACATTGTCATAAATCTCTGAATCACATCTCACATGTACAAATTTTTTTTAAAGTAGACAACCCAGGATATTCAATATGGAGGATGTCCAGTCTTTTTTAGTAGCCACTTAGTCACAAACACCAATATAAATTTAGCATTTATATTTGTGTGTTAAAAATGCAAAAAACAATTATGAACTCTAACTTTGGCCAGTGTTTGTGACTAGGTGGCTACTAAAAAAGACTGTACATACCCCATTTGCAATACTTAGGGTTGTCTTCTTTTGCAAATGGTATGCCACTGTGGGGGTCATTCTCATGCTTGACCTTGTAACTTTCAAAACCACTATAAAACCTGTACATATATATATATATTACATATTGATATATCTGAAGGCTACATGTATATTTATGAAATTATTTAAGTAAATATATAAATATAATTTCATTCTAAATGCATTTTGATATAAAGATATTAATATCAAAATACAGTTAGAATAAAATTACATATATAATTTTTTTGTAATTTTTAATTTTTTAAAAACTATTTTTGCTTATTTATATTTTATAATATACAATATATAGTTATTATAGTTATATACACAGGTGTAATTTAATTATAAGTTTATTTTTATATTAATATATGTATATATTAATATAGAAATACACTTTGACAAAATATAAATAAGATGTGTGTATACATATATTATATATGTGTGTATATATATCTCTTATACATATATTATTATTATTAATAATTTTGTTTAACTACTAAAAAAATTTATTTTTCAGAAGCAGGGAGACTGCCGGACAGCCCAGGCAGTCCCCTTGCAGGTAGATGCCTGGGCGCCTATTGCGGCCATGTGATCACTCTTTTAAAGCGTTCACATGGCCCGTGGGGGACTAATTTCTCGAGGGGGGACTGTCTGTGCAGTCAGGCAGCCCCCCTAGACTGGGAGCAACACCGATCAGTAAGTAGTAAGGAATGCCACGGACGTACCTAGTATGTCCGCAATCCTTAAGGGGTTAAATGTGACTGTCTTCCTTAAACTTTCATGTCAAAACTTTATCACAGTGTTAAGATCCAATGTGCTTTATTTCAGAACTGCATATATAAAACATGTTTGAAGGTCATATTTAACAAATATTCTTACCACAGGTGGCATTGATCCAGTGGCCCGAAGCATGATGGTTAATCCTGCCAAATTGAATCTTCAGAACCAACTGATGGTTGATGAGTTAAGAGAGTTTCTTTTTCTGCTTCAAACTAAAATAGGATCTGATCTAGCATCTCTTAACATGCAACGAAGCTATGATCACGGTATACCAGGTAATATTAAGGAATTACTCAAGCTCCTACTCAGATTCAATGCTCAGAGCAGTTTATTTAACTTGATCTTTTCAACTTTGCATTGTGAACTCTCGTAGAAATGAAATTATGCAATTATTATGCAAAACTACACCCCAAGGTTAAGAACAAATATATTTAATTTTTACCTTTAGAATTCAGTTGTTTCAGATTATAGGAACTAACTTAAAAATAAAAAAAATTACCAAAAATCCAGCACCCACACAGATGTACCAAATCCATTGTTATAGGAATAAGAAAATTAATTGTGTCAGCAAATGCCCTGAAGACTCGGTCACTATTCTGTCCAATAAAGTGCCCAGTAATAGTCACAGAAGCTGATCAAACAGTTCCATACAATATATGCCACAATTATAGGATCATAACGAAATTCTTGTTGATCCAGGAATTAAGAGAGAAGGTACAGAACTTGCATGTAGAATTATCTTACCATTTGCATCAAGACAGTGAAAACCTACTGACAACCAACAAAAAAAAAAATCAAACCCTTCAGTACGCCTTTGCACTGGCAGCAAGCACCCATTATGGTACGGACTGAGATGGAGAATATATTCAATTAGATTTCTTTCATTTTGTTACTAGATTATTACTTTAGTATAATGATACTACCATTGTTACATATAGTTTACTTCTGTAATATTTTGTACTTGATGTTACATGTAGTTAATAATCTGGCTGATAGAATTTTGGTTGGCAAATACGTACTTGTTTATAACAAATGGCTAGCCTGCTCCATTCCCCCTGATCCCCCCAGTCCCCCCGCCCCACCCTGCTTGCCACTCCCAGCTGTAAATGCCTTTTAAGTAACTGTTTTTCTCTCTTCCTTAGCCCCAAGTCATTATACATCCCTGCATGAAGGCCTTTTAATTTTACTCGGCCTTTAGTTCCGCAGGACCCGTCCCCCCTCATTGGTAGCTGTATGGAATAGCTTACTTTAGAGTATCTCGACACTTCAAAAATGGGACTGGTTTGAATTTATGTCCTGTTTCAGTAGGTTTTGCACATGCCTTTAGTGTCCTTAAGAAGGAGTTGCCATTCAGGCAGCAAAGCCAAATGCCCATGAGTGGAGGCATGGTATTGGCCTCTCTATTCAGGGCCATCATCCCATCATCCACAGGAAAGAGAAGCAAGAAGTAATCTTGAAAGTAGTGAGCACAGTAGCAGCAGCTTCTTGGCCCTGACAAATGTACAGCGAGGGAAAAAAGTATTTGATCCCCTGCTGATTTTGAACATTTGCCCACTGACAGAGAAATTATCAGTCTATAATTTTAATGGTAGGCGTGACAGACAGAATCACACAAAAAATCCAGAAAAGCGCATATCAAAAAAGTTATAAATGGATTTGCATGACAATGAGTTAAATAAGTATTTGACCCCTTCAACTTAGTACAAAACCCTTGTTGGCAATCACAGAGGTCAACCGTTTCTTGTAGTTGGCAACCAGATTTGCGCACATCTCAGGAGAGATTTTGTCCCACTCCTCTTTGCAGATCCTCTCCAAGTCATTAAGGTTTTGAGGTTTGACAACCTGAATCTTCAGCTCCCTCTACAGATTTTCTATGAGATCAAGGTCTGGAGAGGAGCCACTCCTTTGTTGCCTTGGTTGTGTGTTTTTGGTCATGGTCATGCTGGAATACCCATCCATGATCCATTTTCAATGCCCAGGCTGAGGAAAAGGAGGTTCTCACCCAAGATTTGATGGTACATGGCCCCGTCCATTGTCCCTTTGATGCGGTGCAGTTCTCCTGCCCCTTAGCAGAAAAACAGCCCCAAAGCATAATGTTTCCACCTCCATGTTTGAAGGTGGGGGATGGTGTTCTTGGGGGTCATAGGCAGCATTCCTCCTCCTCCAAACACAGCGAGTTGATGCCAAAGAACTCGAATTTAGTCTCATCTGACCACAACACTTTCACCCAGTTCTTCACTAAATCATTCAGATGTTCATTGGCAAACTTCAGACAGGCCTGTACATGTGTCTTCTTGAGCAGGGGGAACTTGCGGGCGCTGTGTTAGAAACAAACAAAAAAACAGAACCCTTGGATTAGGAGACTGTGTGTGTGTGTGTGTGTGTGTCTCTTCTGGATATCCAAATAGGGGGTAACCCTAACTAAACACGAAGTAAAAAGAGTATGATCAAGGATACTGTATCCCATATGTAGATAGGACTGGTTACAAGCTGGTTTATCCTCCTTAAAGGTTCCATTACGCTTTACTGTTTCCTCTCACACATTGATAAGGCAATTTTTGAGCTGTTCAGCAAACTTGTTTTTCATTTCAGTGTATTTTTCGTAGTTAACCCCTTCAGGACGGAGTCAATCGTACACATTCTGATCAAAACAAAATGTAAACAAAAGCTGGAATTTGCGCTATATGTCTGTTCAACTGTAATTCACCGCTGTCACATTAAGTGCACCCACACTTGTTATATATCATTTTGTTCAGGAGAAACAGGGCTTTAATTTATCATTAATTATTCATATATGGAACATAATTTATAATGAATAAAATATTAAAAAGTGAGAAAATAGTATTATTATTTTTTTTTTAAATTTGTATTTCCGTCTTTTTTAGCTGTTAATGTCATAATACTGTTAGGTTTTACTGCAAAAAAATGCACATATTTGTAATCAGCGATGTCTCACGAGTACAACAGTACTCCCCATTAACAGGTTTTATGGTGTTTTGGAAAGTTACAGGCTCAAATATATCACATTAGATTTTGAAATTGAAATTTGCCAGATTAGTAATGTTACCTTTGAGATGGTGTGGTAGCCCAGGAATGAGAATTACCCTCATAATGGCATACCATTTGAAAAAGTAGACAACCCAAGGTATTGAAAGTGGGGTATATTTAGTCTTTTTTAGTAGCCACTTAGTCACAAACACTGGCCAAAATTAGCGTTCATATTTGTTTTTGTGTGAAAAAAGCAAAAAAATTATATTTGGCCAGTGTTTGTGACTAAGTGGCTACTAAGAAAGACTGGACATACCCCACTTGCAATACCTTGGGTTGTCTACTTTTGCAAATGGTATGCCATCATGGGGGTAATTCTCATTCCTGGGGTACCATACGCTCTCAAAGGCAATATAACTAATGGGGGTACTGTTATTCTCAGGTGACTTCACTAAACACAAATATTAGTGTTTTAAAACAGTAAAACATATTACAACAATAATATAGTCCGTAAAAGTGCAGTTCGTTTGTAAAAAATGCAAAAAATTTCACTTTTACTTAAAATATCATCGTTGTAATACAATTTATCATTTTGAAACACTAATATTTGAGTTCAACAAAGTCTCCCGAGTAAAACAGTACCCCCTATGTACAGGTTTTATGGTGTCTTGGAGAGTTAAAGGGTCAAATATAGTGCTTGCAAATTAAATTCTCTGCACTCCCTGTGTTGTCAGGCATGTCAATCAAATTTTAATTAATCAAATCACATAATTATGTTAAAAGATTACTTAAATATACACATAGAATTTTAATACATATGCATTTATAGGTATTTAAATTCTACGTGTATACTAATGTAATCTTTTATGTAATTATATGTATTTATATATATATATATTTATATTTGCGGTTATTTGTATTTTATAGATATATATAGAATGTCATTCTAAGTGTATTTTGATATATATATTAATAACAAAATACAGTTAGAATGAAATTACATATGAATATATAATTTATATTAAATTTTGTTTCAATATTTTATTTATTTATTATTGTAATCATACGTGTGTGTATATATATGTATATAATATATGATTATATATCTATTATATATATAATATATATACATATTATATATGTAATGTCATTCTAAGTGTATTTTAATACTAATATATGTACTTATATTAATATTAAAATATACTTTGTATGACGTGAGATATATATATATATATATATATATATATATATAGAGAGAGAGAGAGAGAGAGAGAGAAAGAGAGAGAGAGAGAGATAAATAAATACATTTATTTTAATTTTACACATGTCTAATTCTTTTTTTTTTTTTAAACTTTCCCACCAGCAGGGGGACTGTCTGACATTTCAGACAGTCCCCCTGCTGGCAGATCCACAGCCTGCCATAGGGGGCCATGTGATCGCTCTTCAAGAGCGATCACATGACCCCCGGGGGACTCATTTGCTGGGGGAGGGCTGCCTGGGCTGTCAGGCAGCCCTGCAGAAGAGGATCGCGGCGGAGGTAAGTCCACCGGATCTCCAGGGGCTGCAAGCCGTTACGGCGTTCTATGCCGCCGCAATGGCTTTAAAGCCCTTTTAATGCGGGACGGCATAGAACGCCGTAACGGCGTTAAGGGGTTAATAAAGTACGTTTTTAGATTAACTGGGACTTAGACTCTGAGATATCCTCCCCATGATCTTGGGACCTTCCTTCGGAACCCTTCATGGTGTTACCAAATTTTTTTTTGGTGACTATGGTCCCAGCTGCCTTGAGATCATTAACAAGATCCTCCCGTGTTGTCCTGGGCTGATACCAAGGGAGACTGATTTTTTTGTTTATTTTGTGTTTCTTCCATTTGCGAATAATCGCACCAACTGTTGTCACCTTCTCACCAAGCTGCTTGGCGATAGTCTTGTAGCCCATTCCAGCCTTTTGTAGGTCTACAATCTTGTCTCTGACATCCTTGGACAGCTCTTTGGTCTTAGCCATGGTGGAGAGTTTGGAATATGATTGATTGATTGCTTCTGTGGACAGATGTCTTTTAGAGAGCACTCCTAATCTCTGCTCGTTACCTGTATAAAAGACACCTGGGAGCCAGAAATCTTGCTGATTGATAGAGGATCAAATACTTCTTTCACTCATTGACATGCAAATCAATTTATATATTTTGTTACATGCGTTTTTCTGAATTTTCTTTGTTCTGTCTCTCACTGTTTAAATACACCTACCATTAAAATTATAGACTGATCATTTCTTTGTCCATGGACAAACGTTCAATATCAGTAGGGGATCAAATACTTTTTCCCTTCACTGTAAGTGTATAATAGATTTTTCAGTCCCCCAATATCCCTAGTGACTGTATGAGTGCTTATTAAGTAAGGGCATTTACTCAAATATGTAATATATAAAGCCAGGGGTGAGAAGGGGAGGGGTGTATTTCTGACTCCTACTGCACATATCCACCATCTTCTTCAAAGTGCTCAGTCACTCTACAGCGGAAACCTGAGACACTCATGCTTTGGTTAGTTAAAAATGTCTGATGCTTCAAACTGCAGGACTAAGGCTCTGAGGACTGACTTGATTCAGATTGCTTCTGTTAATCATGTCAGCTACTTATTAGCTCCATATTACTACAGCAGAATAATTAAATTGCCAGCTGCATTTGCCCCAGTCTACCTGGTCTAACCATAAGCTGTCTACTCTACCCAGCAAGCAGATTCCTGTCAGACTGGGTAGAGGATAAAGAATATCATTCTCTGCAGTCAATGAGGCCATGCTACATGGAGTGACTGGCAGGAGGGGAAGCTCTGTGCACCTCCCTCCCACCAGTAATCTACACGCGGTGCAACCCCCACCCAAATTTTGGAGTAAAAAAATAGCATTCTATATTCCATAACATACAACAAAACTGATTAGTCAATAGCAACTATGTTTCTATGCTAGACATATGTATGAAATAAAAACCTTTATCACTCCATTGAGGCTTTTGCAATTCCAAGTCATGCCATTTGGGATAAAGCATACCCCAGACATTTTTCAGTGAATGGTTTACTACCTCAAAGGAGTGCAGGATTGTTCCTGGACGTAATCACCATCTTTAGACTACTCGTGGCACCTGGTGGAAGTGCCTGACTGCATCTAGGTGGCCAGCATAATCCTTGCGGGTATACTTTAGGTGTTTATGGTGTAGTATCATAGAGACTTACTCTTTCCTCTATTGGTGTCCGGCTGGACCAACTATACTACCCATCGCCCTCATCTGTGCTTAGCGTTGGGGAACTAATGGAGCGTTATAATCAGAGTTTATGATTCTTCTGATGGCTAGTATCCTGACTTTTATTATTAGTTTGGGTGAACACTGCCGCTCACCTCCCCAAAGGCTCCTTTACTACCTTTGTGCACGATTGATTTTGGAGCTCCCCCAGCCATTGGAAGTAATGTGAATTTATCCGCTGGGGTTATCCTCACTAGGCAATATTTATATGTGCAACTATGTGCACGTTGCTCTACCAAGGGTTTCATTGGTATTTATTATCCCAACAGGATACATTGTACTTCTTATTGTTCACACTTCTTACTCTGTTGCTGGCTACAGATACTTTGTTATAAAGAAGCTGCTGAT